GAGTCGGAACGTAGATTGACCAGTAAATCGAGAGCTTCGCCTTACAGCTCAGCTCCTTCTTCACCACGACGGGCCGGTACATCGACCGCATTACTGCAGAAGCTGCACTGATCCGCCTGTCAATCTCCCGTGCCATCCTTCCCTTACTAGTGAACAAGACCCCAAGATACTTGAACTCCTCCACTTGAGGCAGGATACATGGATTATTGTAGTTTCTTAATATTGTTAGCCTTATTGTATATTCTGTATCATATTTCAGGACTGTGTTATGTTGGTGACTATTTCGTCATTCTTTTACAATTATTTGTTCGGAAAAGTTTGTTACCACAAGCTATTATTCAATGATATTTTGTCTTATAAATGCCTTAAAAATTGATTTTATATTCTGTGGATTTACAGTGGTGTGAAAAAGTATTTGCCCCCTTACTGATTTCTTATCTTTTTGCATGTTTGTCACACTGTAATGTTTCAGATCGTCAAACAAATTTATATATTAGTCAAAGATAACACAAGTAAACACATCATGCAGTTTTTAAATGAAGGTTTTTATTATTAAGGGAAAACAAAATCCAAAACTACAAAACCCTGTGTGAATAAGTGTTTGCCCCCTAAACCTAATAACTGGTTGGGCCACCCTTAGCAGCAACAACTGCAATCAAGCGTTTTCGATAACTTGCCATGAGTCTTCCACAGCGCTGTGGAAGACTCATGGCAAGTTATCGAAAACGCTTGATTGCAGTTGTTGCTGCTAAGGGTGGCCCAACCAGTTATTAGGTTTAGGGGGCAAACACTTATTCACACAGGGTTTTGTAGTTTTGGATTTTGTTTTCCCTTAATAATAAAAACCTTCATTTAAAAACTGCATGATGTGTTTACTTGTGTTATCTTTGACTAATATATAAATTTGTTTGACGATCTGAAACATTACAGTGTGACAAACATGCAAAAAGATAAGAAATCAGTAAGGGGGCAAATACTTTTTCACACCACTGTAGTTCGAACATTTAACTTCAGGTGTGCAAGCAGGGATTGTCTGTGTCTTCCTAAAGACTTTGCAAGACAATGAACAAAATGACTGTTGTGGGGCTGAACTCTGTGACCCTGTTATCAGAAAGTTTACTCACAAGGCCAATCTGTCACTCTTTTTTGTGGGACCCTTTCCTTATCAACTTCAGACTCAATATGCATGTATTTCTATACTGAGCAAAGACAGCAACACTGGCTGTGAGGCAATATATGATCACCAGATAATGGCTCTGCATTGTGCCTCATTTTGTATGTCTACATGAATTAGTTCATCTTGAAGAAGTCATTTGCTCTTTGCAAACACGGTAAATTCATCTTTTCTAGGTGCTGTCTCCGCCATGTTATGGAACTGTGACAAACCAGCAAGATGCTCCCACTGCTTTGTATTGGTGCACTGAATGTATGAGCTCATATTGAGTAGATTACTGGCTTAAAGGGTGTTTCACTGTTAAGTTTCCAAAGAGATCAAATTGTATTTTCCATAATTAATTCCCTATGTGCCTCACTTGAGTTATGCCTTTAAAAATCAGAATTGAACTTTGCTAATAAAGTTTAAAGGTTGCTCATTGATGTAGCTGTGTGAGAAATGGATGGAGAGAATACAAAGTGATTAAAATGGATGGCGAAAGTGAGATGTGGTTTTAGACATTGTTTTAACATGGCTTGCTTTACAAACACTGACTCTGCTCAGTGGTAACACCTAGCACTGACTGGTAAATATTAGGATAGAGCTAGGAAAAAATAAGAGTATAAAGGGGAAAATGAAACAATACATGGCACAGTATCTGAGGGGTTTCTCACTGAGCTTTCACCATAGTTTATCCCAGACTAGTGTCCAGGGTGCTGCTGAGTATTATACTGGTCTCAGAGAACAGGGTTGTGGCCTGGCTCATGCCTGAAGGGCACCATTAAGCACAGAGCAAGGTTTAGGGAGACCTTGGAAAGTCAAAGCTGATATTAGAAGCAATATACAGTAAGCTTTCATCTATAACACAACAAGGGAAGCAGAGGAGAAAAGTGACACAATCCAGAACAACCTTTCACCACTTACCTTAGTGTTCTTAGGTACTGTGAATATCAAACCATTAGCAGGCATGAGCAATAAGTAAAGTATTCACAGTGCCAATTAATAAAAAGGAGGCCAGTGTAAATGTTGTCTTGTGTAGGTGTCTCTTTTCATTGCTATAGCCTGCCAGCTACGGTTATACGGTAGCTGAGGTCATGTATATGGCAGGAATCATTTATGACAATATTAGATTACAGGCCAGATTCATCTCCTAAACTGGATTAGGTAATAAAAGAGCCAGCCGCCTCTGAGCCCCATGTGGATGTGCTTGGTCAGAGCCTGCCACACACATCAATGGGATACATAGAGTAGATACACTGTACACACCAGATCTCTACTGCCTTTCTCTGTTCCTGTTTCTCTACAACCATGTTTGTCATCTGGATAATTACCACCTGTCTCGGGGTGTTACCTTCTAATGCAGGCAAAGTGATGTGCCTGACGCATGCCTGCAATTTATTTGGGGGAATAAATGTGCTTTTATAACCAAAGTTGCATCTAAGCCCAAGAACTGGAAGAGCAAATACAGCAGCTATTCCTCTGTTATTGTTTAGTCAAATGCCTCTGAAAGCATAATGGGGGCTGGAAGTTTTATTCCTTTTTATTGAAAAGAATTTTAGCCTCCTTAAACCATGTTTTGAGTCAGATTTTTTTGTGTTTAACCATTGTTTTTGTAGTGGTTAAAAACAAACACGTTTCAAGTTAAAATGTAATATGCCAGAGAGTACAGGCCTTGGGGTGAGCTGAACAATGCTTGCATAATTTGGCAGGCTTTGACCTTTTTGTCCTGAGAAGGGCCTGTGTCCAGAAATAAGAACTTTAGGGAGGCAACCCCATCTCTTTCCTGTACATCTCAGGGTATTTCCTCTTAAAAGTGAAAACAAGAGGCTAAGTTCGGAAACTGATGTAAGACCCAAAAAGAGCTGTGAATAAAAAAAGAGCTAGATTAGTGGTGCAGTAGGATGCTGCTGCTGTGTGGAGTGAGTGTGCGTTCAGACCCAGGCGGGTGGGGGGAACGGACCCAACTCTGGACTCTGGACTGACTGTACTGTATGACCCAAAATGACCGACTCTTTGACAATTCTCTTATCTAATACTTTTATTTATTTCTCTGCAGGGATGGTGATTCTGTTTCCTATCTTTCAGACTACTGAATTGCCTTTCAAATTATAGAACTGCTCAGAATTATTGTAATAATAAATAGTCATTGGAATGGAATGATTTGCTTGAATGAATTTAGTTCACATCAGACCTCAACAACCACAGTTTATTCATTGTTTTCTTAACTTGACAGGGAAGGCTTGGTTGAAAAAGTAAGAATTTGCTTTGCTATTATTTTAAGCCTAAAACAAGTTTAGTATTTTACCTTTTTATATAGACATCCTCCATCACTTTTACAATTCACTGGCATCTAGCAGGCATCCATTTTAAGATGCAGTATATATGTAAGTGCAGAATGTCCTCTTTGCAGACAAAAGGAGTAGTAGGATGAGAGATTCAGTAGCATGCCTGTTCCAACTTTTTTGCCCTGCTTTTCAAGAGGCCTGCTTGGTCGCGCTATGTCTGACATTGAAATGTCAAAGCCATTTTCTCAAATTACAAGGACTGAGGATGTGTTTAGTGGCTATTTAACTGCGCAACACTCAATCATGTGGAGAAGGCTGCCAAAATCCCCTTGGCTGCTCTCTCACCATTGCACTTTACAATTATAAAAACTGTATGGTTGTTGTAACATCATACTACAGTAAGGCAGGATCTTGTACATTGGCAGCATTTTGGTAAAGCAATGTACCTTTTTTTACCCGCATATGGGTTTCAGGTGGACAATGTTTGTAGATATTTCTAAATTATAGTTTGACATCTTGGGAAATAGACTTATTGAAGTTTTTGTCTTAGATGAGAAGATGGATACCACTGTCAAGGGCGTATGTAAAATTTGACAATGTAGCCAGCAGCTGGTTACTTTTAGCTTAGCAAGACTGGCAACAGTGAAGCTAAGATAACCACCTACTGGCTCCAGATACATAATAACTGCACAGACATAAGAGTAGTGTCAATCTTCTCACCTCTCAGCAATAAAAGCATGTTAGCAAACTATATTTCCCTAAATTGTAAAACAATTTTTAACATGTCTGGTGCAATAAATTCAAAAGTGTTGACCCCCTCAGTGTTCAGTCAAGATAAGAACATCAGCTAAAATGTATAGATTTTTAAATTCAAGGCAGAGATTTGAAGGGATTATTCATGGATTAGAGTTACTCTGGGCAAAGATGTACAAGCTGATGCAGAGGGGCGATAGGGAGAAGCAGACCTTGAAGCCTCAGTGATTACACATATGCCTTCTTGTAAAGTGAAGGTCAAGATTATGGTAGGATAAAAGACTTAAGTGTATTTTGTTGAGTATTGTGGTAGTCAATATCTGATGTGAACTAAATTAATTCAGACAAATTATTCCAGTTCCAATGATCATTTATTATTACAATAATTCTGAGCAGTTCAATAATTTGAAAGGCTGTTCAATAGTCTGAAAGGTAGGGAATAGAATCACCATCTCTGCAGAGAACTAAATAAAAGTATTAAATAAGAGG